AAATACAAAAAATTAGTCGGGTGTGTTGGCACATTCCTGTAATCCCAGGTACTCAGGAGGTTGAGGCAGGAGAATCACTTGAACCCGGGAGGCAGAGGGTACAGTGAGCCAAGATTGTGCCATTGCACTCCAGCTTGGGCAATAGGAGTGAGACTGTACCTCAAAAAAAAATAAAAAAGAAGAAAAAGAAAAAAAAATACTGAGAGTATCAGTCTAAACTTTTAAAGATCACATTTTTTAAACTCTGGGAAGTTTTACTTTAGGCAGAAACAATTACAATAGAACTTCCTTTGAAATGTCACTTGATTTTCATTAGAAATTATTTCATGCAATGCCAAAAATACAATGCATCATCCTGTAACAATATCTTCACAGCTAAGTCCTAATCTGAAATGCTGAATGACAATAACAACAACAACAAAAAACTTTTTAAGTTTTTTAGAGATGAGGTCTCACTCTGTTGGCCAGGTTGGCCTCAAACTCCTGGGCTTATGTGATCCTCCTGCCTGGGCATTCCGTGAGTAACTGGGACCACAGGCATATACATACCACATCCAGCTCACCTCCCTTTTAATAAACTCCAAGATCTTATTTTAACCACTACTGTTCTGCAGCAATAACTCAAGACCCAACCTGAGAACTAAGAACATGATACTCAGATGCCAAGCTCTGGATCAATTTTTCAACCAAACACACTTAAGCTGCTCTTTCTTGGCATCAGGTTGGTAGGAGAGACAAGTTTGAGCAGGAAATTACCCTGAAATCAACAGTACCACCTGCTGCAACTTGAAACCTCCTGTTCTAATGATGGGATAAGCTCTGTTGCACCTTCATTGTTGTTAAAATATTTGCAACTTATAGAATTCTCTGTACAGACCAATTTGGTTCCAAAACACCTGACTGGCAGCAAAATGTTTCTAATGAAACAGGCAGTGTGTCCACAAATATCTGAAGCTGAAGAATAATCGATTTGTTGTGGTCACAGCAATTACAAAGCATGAAAAGAAAGATCACAATTTGAAGGAAAAAAGTCTTAAACAAGAGTCATTCCTCAGTAATCTTCTTAAGGGACAGGAGCATGTTTCTTTTAGACATGGAATTTGATGTTACCACTTAGTTTTAATAGAAAAAAATTAATGCAAACATAAATCATGAAGCTAAATCTTATTTTTTTTAATGAGGCTGAAACAAACAAATACAAAGGATAGTCTCCTCCTTGGTATTTCAACATAATTGTTACCATCTGCCATTTCACTGCAGAAATTGTCAATAAATTCCAAGGAAAGAAACATCCGTGGAAAGCAAGGTTGTTTCTGCTTTTAACTTCTTTCTCCTCCCAAGTCACCCTCTTCTGACTGGCCCTGCTGAGGATAACATGCAGCTCCTTCACTACTGAAAGCAACTTTACTTTGTTCTTCTAAGTCCTTTCCAATATGCCTTTGATTACTGGATTCTTTCTCTTCCTTCTCTTTTACTGTTTCTTTGGTTCTCTGCTGCCCTGTGATCCAGCTCAGCAAGCCAAGCGACCTGCCTGGCCAGTCCTCAGATCGCTTTTCACCCTTCTGTCTTCTATCCCCTGTAACCAAGGTCCATCCTCCCTTTCCTGTCTCACGTTCTCCTTCACTATTGCCACCAGCTTCCTCCCTTGGTGCCGCTCATTCACTGCAACTCCTCTCAGGTCACTCTTTCACCTTCACCTTCTGCCCTCCCGATTTTGCCCTGCAGAACCGCGCACTTTCAGCATGGTATTCGCTTGGCAAGGAGGACATGCTTATACTCCAACTCCTACTGCCTCGGAGGCAAGCTCTTCTGCGTGGCTTTTAAGACTGTTGGCCGGGCATGGTGGCACACACCTGTAATCCCAGCCCTTTGGGAGGCCGAGACAAGCAGATCACCTGTGGTCAGGAGTTCAAGACCAGCCTGGCCAACGTGGTAAAACCCTATCTCTACTAAAAACACAAAAATTAGCCAGGCATGGTGGTGGGAACCTGCAATCCCAGTTACCCAGGAGGCTGAGGCAGGAGAATCACTTGAACCCAGGAGGCAGAGGCTGCAGTGAGCCGAGATTGCACCATTGCACTCCAGCCTGGGCGATAAGAGCGAAACTCCATCTTAAAAAAAAAAAAAAAAAAAAAAAAAAAAAAAAAAAAACAAACTCTACTCTCCCAGGACAAGGCTCCCAGCAGGCAGGAGAGGACTGGAGATTCAGAGGGAGGCCTGGGATGAACAATGTAGCTACCCTATAAGATTGTTTTAAGCTCTTAATAAAACACTAAAGGAATATTCCCACCATGGATGTTCTGAAAGGCATCTTGAGCCACTCAGCCTGCCTCGTCTCTCCCTCCTATGAGCTCCTGGGGCCCTCAGCAGCTTGGCACTCAGTAGTTCTAAGAGAAAACTTTCCCTGAAGACAGAAACTTTATCTTAAATGTCTCCTGGAGCCTCTCAACACAAGGTCAGGGCCAGCACCTTCCACGGGCCTCCTGCTCTGCAGCCACTTACAAGCTGGTGGGTTGGTTTTGGCCATTGCTACCCTAGCATTTCCCCTTTCTTGATATTAAAAACCGAATTTCCTCATCCTGCTCAGAACCACGAATCCACTTCTTCTTGAGGAATGAATCTAAAGCAAAGGAAGCAGCATGGGAGACAATGACTGGGGTCAAAACCCATTTCCAAGTCCCCCATGTGCCACAGTTATGAATGTCCAAGATCCTAAAGTGTCACAAAGTCTCACCTTTGTTTTGGTCCTAAGAGGAGGAGGACAACCCAGATTGGATAAAGTTGGAGAGGACAGAGGGCTGTGGGGACAGGGAGCAAGGCAACGGGAAGGAAAATGCATGTCACCACGAACTACTTCGCTCCCTCCCCTCCGGACTCCTCCTGTGAATGCACTCAGAGTCATGCAATGACCTTAGGCATTTTGAAAACCCTCCTTGTTTCAAAATAAGGAAGCTGGGGTTTTAGAAGCCAAAGTCATGTTTCATGTACTTAGAGGGTAAAGTTACAGTGCCTGAGACACAATGCTCACCAGGGCCGAGATTTCAACACTGTCAGCTTCCTGGGAGATTGCTTCAGACCTCGTCCTCCTGTTTTGATTTTTCATGTATAGTTCATTGTTAGAAGAAGGAAAAAATGCTGAGAAATGTAACACCCTGCCCGGCAATGTTTTTCATTAGACGTCAAATATACATGGTTGATTGAAATGAGGAAGAGGACCCTGAGATCTTTCTAGAGATGATTTGGAATTGCTCTCTCTGCAGCCAGGGCAGCTCACAGTAATTCTTTATTTTTTGCTCTTAAGCGAGGAAAAGCCTGAAGGATCTTGGCTTCAGCAAACCGAAGAAACATGACATGAGAAGGCAAATTCTGCCACTGTCTGTGTGACTTGGCAAGCCGTGAGTGAAATGGAAGGGACACAGCTCAAGAGCAAAGAGATCAAGTTGAGCCACTTCACCTCTCTGGCTGGATGACTGAAATACAGTAAGCCTTGCAAAGAGACAGGACACTAGATGAATGCCAGGGTGTATGTGAAATGTAGCCCTCCTGATTTGGGGGAGAGAAACCCCAGCCACTATGCCCACATGGTGTAACTGCATCCCATAATCTTTTTCCCTGGGGCATTCACACATCTGTGGCAATATTTAGAAGTTGTTTTCAGGCCAGGCACGGTGGCTCACGCCTGTAATCCCAGTACTTTGGGAGGCAAGGCAGGCAGATCACGAGGTCAAGAGATCAAGACCATCCTGACCAACATGGTGAAACCCCGTCTCCACTAAAAATACAAAAAATAGCCAGCTGTGGTGGTAGGTGCCTATAATCCCAGCTACTGGGGAGGCTGAGACAGGAGAATCACTTGAACCCAGAAGGCAGAGGTTGCAGTGAGCCAAGATCGCACCACTACACTCCAGCCTGGGCAACACAGAGCGAAACTCCATCTAAAAAAAAAAAAAAAAAAAGTTTTTTTCTAATCTCAGAGTCTCTGATGACTCTGGTTCATACCAGCCTAGCCTACCTCCCTTCTCCAAAGTTCTGTGATGTCCTTGTGCAGCATCTCTCCCAGCAGACGGAGTCACCCCTCTAGTGATTTCAAGAAACTCATGACCAATTCATTCTTGCTTCGAGCAATGGGAGTCTAAGCCAAGTCAGTTCTTTATTGTTTTCAGAATGGGGAGTTTAAAAACACCAATTCCATGTTAAACTGGTTTTAAAACCTGCTAACACCAATTGATTACTATAAACATTGATATAGTCTGTCACTAATGGGAAGTATGTCATTTCTTTGCCTGAGTATCAAAGACAGGTCAGCTTGCCTCCTTCAAAAAGGCAGTATTTAAAGCCTCATAGTATTACTCTGATATTTCCTAGATTATAATTTACTCCACTGGTACTGAAGGAGAGAAAGTAAGTGCTAAGAAAATGAAGGCATTTGGTTAAGAAATCTGAATGAAACTGAACTCCCGGGTTAGCTCATCCTTAGAGTTAAGAAACTTTTTTTGTGTGGTTCAAACAGGTTCTCATTCTGAAACCCAGGCTGGAGCGTAGTAGTACAATCACAGCTCACTGCAGCCTTGACCTCCCAGGCTCAAGTGATCCTCTCCTCTCAGCCTCCCACGTAGTTGGGTCTAAGGCATGCACCACCACACTTGGCTAACTTTTGTATTTTGTGTAGAGACAGGGTCTCACTACACTGCCCAGGCTGGTCTCAAACTCCTGGACTCCAGGAATCCACCCACCCTGGCCTTCCACAGTGCTAGGATTACCGTCATGAGCCACTGCGCTTGGCCCAAACTTCTATAAATGAAAAAAAAAAATGTTGTTATATGATAAAATTGATTTTTGGATGAGGATAACTTCCAAGTCGAGAAAGGTACTCCCTGTCAGGTACTCCATACACATTTCCTGTGAAGGTGAGGAACCAGTGCTCTCTTTATGAGCCATTTGTGAATAGGCCTCCTGAGACCCAAGTGAGCGGGAGGGATCCAACCACCGGCCATGCTCACCTGTCCTCGAAGCACACTGTGCACTTCCAGCCAGGGGTCCCCCTGAGGAACACACGGCACTGGGCGCACACGCGGTGGCTGCAGCCCCGGCACACGGCGCCCCGGTGCAGCAGGAGCCCCAGCACCTGCTGGCAGCGCGCACAGCACTTCTCTGTGTACTCCCGGTTCGTGCTCTTCGCTCCTTTCCACCGGAGATGCTGCAGGTGCGTCTTCAGTTTCCTGCAGCCCAGAGAGTTAAAGAAGATAACACTGAATGGAACACCCTGACACCTGGCTACAGGGCAAGAGCCCAGGTGGCACCGCCCGTGGCAAGGGAAGGGGCTTTGGTATTCGACATCGCTGGGCTCCCACGTGGCTGTGTGAACTGGGCTGTCACTCAGCGTCTCAGAGGGGAGGCTCAGGGAATTCGTCAACCACTGAAACAGATGCTACAACCTTATCTCTCAGGGTTGCTGTGAGGACTAAATGGCAAAACATAAATAACATGCCTGGTGCAGAGAAGTTCCCTACCAGGTCCATCCATTCATGCCCAAAGGCTGTTAAGATGGTAAGCAAGAGTTAGAGGGGAAAGGACACAGAAAAGAGCATCCATTTTAATCTGGAAGGCCTGGAGCAATTTAGAAATACACAGCATACATCTCTGCTATTGGTGTGAGTTACCCAATTCCATCAACTGATGCGATGCTTTTGCTTTTTTTTTTTTTTTTTTTTTTTGAGTGGTCAGCCCACTTCTAGCCTCTCACTTCCCTAGACAAACAGCCATAGCGCAAAAAGACATTGCATTGGATCCAAAAAGGGTCATTACCTCACTGTCAGGAAACATCTGTAATAGCTACTTGCAGAAGAAATAAGCCAATCCCAAGAAACAGGATGACATCAGGAATGAACTTTAAAATTCAGCTTTCAGGATCTGGCCTAGAAGTAGCGCCCTCTGGAACAAACTTCCTTACCACCCTATCTACGTCGTTTTGTTAATATCCAAAATGATGTCTCTAAATCACTGAAAGATCTTTCCTTATCAAATAAAATTTCACTTTTCTCACCATATTATAGTTTTGTTTCCATTTTTTGTTGTTAGTGGTGGTAGGTTTTTTGTTTGGTTTTGAGACAGTCTCACTCTGTCGCCCAGGCTGGAGTGCAGTGGTGCAATCTCAGCTCACTGCAACCTCGGCCTCTCAGGTTCAAGAGATTCTCCTGCCTCAGCCTCCTGAGTAGCTGGGATTACAGGCACCTGCCACCATGCCTGGCTCATTTTTGTTTTAGTAGAGGTGGGGTTTCACTCTGTTGGCCAAGCTGGTCTCAAACTCCTGACCTCAGGTGATCTGCCTGCCTCGGCCTCCCAAAGTGCTGGGATGACAGGTGTGAGCCACTGTGCCCAGCCTGTGTTACAGTTTTTAACAGAAGAAAGCTCACAAGTAAGTACACTTAGAGAGCTTTGAAATAACAGAGAGGATGAAGAAAGAATACTATACCAGAAAATCCCCACTCCAAGCATTTCGCTGTCCGAAGTTTTGTTTTCTAATGTGTTTTGCCATTAGAAACCAAAGCAAACCAAAATACATATCCCACCTGCTTATTTTCTAAACTTCATTTCCTCCCTAGACATCGACAAACGAGCGCCAACCTGTTTAAAGATGGATCTTGGCAACGAAGGCAGAACAGTGATAGAGTTCAGCACGCTTTTCAAACAGCCTCGCAGCTTACACAGACAGAGAGGAAGTTCCCTGTTGGTGAAGCAGTCACGGAACAGGCTAAGCGGGTTCATGTTTTATGCTCCCCGTTCCTCAAAGCCAACCAGGAAGCAAAAGCGATCAAATGAAAAAGACAGGGCTGGATTCCATTGGATTTGCTGCTTCTGAGCTGCGTTCTTTGCTTTTCTTTTTGCCTCTGGGCACCATCAAAAATAAGGTAGGAAAACCCTTAACCTGAGGTCTTTCCCAAAAGAAGGGGTAAACTGAAAGCCTCAAAACGTCCCTCGAATATTTCCCACAAAGGCATCAAACAGATAGCAGATGGCAGACAGCAAACTTACCGCCCAAAGGCACCGTTTTAAATGAATAACAAGAGCGGCCTCCCTCCTACAGGGCATCTTCTACGTTTAGTTAGATAATGAAGATCATCTCCACCAAACAGCCCTTCGTTAGGACCCTTCTCAGGCACGAAGCCCAGCAGCACGGGGTAGTGATTTGTAAGCAAGCAGCATCAGCCATGGAGTGGCAGACCCCAAGCAGAGAAAGCTAAAAACCCAAAGCGACTCCACGGAAAGGGCAACATACCGTATCCTCTCCTCCTCTGCGTTTTGAACCGCCTGGTCTCTGTACAGGACCTGCAGAATGGCCTCGAGTTCCAGCTCCTTGAGGGCATGCAGATCTATTTCTTGGGCCATTTCTTCTCCCTTTTTGTTGACCCAGGTTGGAAGAGCTTCACTCCACGGACCAAGCGCCCTGCTGATGAGCGAGGGAGGCCAGCTGCAGCCAGCCTTGTTTAAAAAGCTCCCTCTCCTATTTCACTGGCAACTGTTCTGCCTGTGGCTTTTTCCTTTTTAATTGTGTCATAGTCCTGAGAAGAAGAAAGTCTCAAGAGGTTGCCCGTTGGTTGGAGTTACCGTTCACAGAGCCTCGTGCCACGGGGAAGGGGCGGGGGGTGTTTTCACCGAGTTCTGCTGCAGCGGCTGACATCCATCTAAGACAAAAGCATTATCTTTTTTCTGAGGTTTCACCAGAGATTGTTATAAATTATGTACAGCTGCAAGCAGATAATTTCTGCAAAGCTGAAGCATCTCAAGCTGAGGAAATTTACAAATAGCAATAAAAAGAGTATCAGTGACTCACAGAAGCTAACCTTCCACTAAGGATGCTTCCAGGTGAGCAGGGACGATCACTAAAAACCCAGTCCATTCAATATCTGTAGAAAAAAAAAATGGCAACATCTTTCTTAGCTTAAGTATCTCTGCAACATTACTTCCAAAAAGACAAAATAGTCTACACAAACCCTTGCATTTTCTGCTCGTGGTGATAATGTAACATTTTAAATTTTCTTAAACAACTCTTCTCATATTTCTAAAAGCCTCAAACTTCCAAACTTGAATTTTCCAAATATGAATTCCATATCTTCAGTGGTCACAGGACATAAAAGTCTGTGTTTAATGTACATTATCCTAATTGAAGATACATCAGAAAAATGACATTATCAAGTGTTGGCTATTATTTTTACAATTAACTTCACTCAAAAATTTTTAATCAGTTAGGGAGGTACGAAGCGGCATCACCACAAGCTCAGCCTACCAATTATTTACAGTCTTGAGTAAGTTTCATCAGCTGCCTTATGCATTAGCTCTTTTTGCTTAATGGCAATTGAAAGGTTCTGCATACATCCTTTCATCCAGAAGGTGTAGAAGATCAAATCAACATGCTTCCTATAGTTCCTATTTTTGTTATTAAATCTATGTGAATCCCTTAGCGATAAGACATCCTTTCGGCCGGGCGCGGTGGCTCAAGCCTGTAATCCCAGCACTTTGGGAGGCCGAGGCGGGTGGATCACGAGGTCAAGAGATCGAGACCATCCTGGTCAACATGGTGAAACCCCGTCTCTACTAAAAACACAAAAAATTAGCTGGGCATGGTGGCGCGTGCCTGTAATCCCAGCTACTCAGGAGGCTGAGGCAGGAGAATTGCCTGAACCCAGGAGGCGGAGGTTGCGGTGAGTCGAAATCGTGCCATTGCACTCCACTGGGTAACAAGAGTGAAACTCCGTCTCAAAAAAAAAAAAAAAAGACATCCTTTCAATGTTTTAAAGCTATACTTCCTTTGCTGGGCTTCAAAAGAAATCCACATTTTATTAATTTATGATCCATAGCAAATTAGTGAATGACAGGCTAATAGAGCTCTAAGGTATTTTCTTTAAGCAAAGGTTCTTAACCTTTTTCTTAATCTTTGGTAGTCTGGTGAAGCCTATGTATTTAAATGCATAAAATATACTGTGTTGCACAGGAAATTGATCATACTGAAATATTTTAGAATTGTAATATAGTACTATGTGTTCACTGATGCATGAAATGTTAAGATCTAGCAGTGATCTAAGGACTTCCATAATTTCAAAGTAGTGATGAATAGAAACACTGTTTTGAGATATCTACAACATATCATGTGGTATGAAAATATCCGTGATTTCTGTTGGTGACAAAGTCACAAGTTCTGCTGATTCTACTGTGGTTTCTTGCCTATATCCGTACTTTGAGGAAATGCTAAATTTTAGTTAAAGGTTAATAAAGATTTAATTTTTTCTCCATTCAAGTTCGTGGACCTATTGGCCAAGGATTGCTTGGTTGTGGAATTCAATATTTATCCGTTTCCCTATTGTAAAAGAAAATGAAAATATATTGTTCATCCTAATTACAGAGGTTGCATGAGGCCCAGAAAACTCGGAGCTCTGAAAAGGGATGCTCCTGGCATCTAGTCTGATAAAGCACCCACAAGTACCTGCTCTCCAAAGGCTTCCTGTCTAGATGAAGGGAAAAGTCACAAAGCAACAAGGGCTTTAGGCCCTTACCTGGCTGGGCTGGTCCCTGGCTGTGCTGCAGGGGCAAAGCCTCCTCCCTCCTTAGATCCAGGTTCCAGATGAACAGATGAAACTAGCAGCCCTCAGTGCTCCAAGGATCTGAGTCTCTGGAAAAGAGGAAAGTAATAGAAAACAGTGTGTGACCAAGTGCCAGGTGTCAAGGTGCAAATTAGCCATCAGGTCACCAACTTCATGAGCCCATTCATCTCGGCTTTCCCCTCAGTTCTTCGTGCTATCTTCTTCTTTCCACTCTACTAACCATCCTGCTGGATCTAGAGCTATCTGGTTTCTGATTCTTGAGTTTTTATTTACTTAATGTGAGACAGGACCTCACTCTGTCACCTAGGCTGCAGTGCAGTGGCACGACCACAGCTCACTGCAGCCTTGGCCTCCCAGGCTCAAGTGATCCTCTAGCCTCAGCCTCCTGAGTAGCTGGGACTACAGGCGCAGGCATGGTATGCCCAGCTAAGTTTTTTATTTCTGTAGAAACGGGTTTTACCATGCTGGGCAGACTGGTCTGCACTCACACAGTCCTGCCTCACCCTCCCAAAGTGCTAGGTTTACAGGCCTAAGCCACTGCACCTGGCTCTTGAGTGTTTTTAGTAAGGAGTTTTTGCACCTGGCTGCAAACACGCACTCCGTGCACTGCGCTTTCTTTTCACATGGCTGTTTGTGCCCGGCTCTCTGGCTCTGGTCTCCAGCTCTCCGGGTAAGCAGAACCACATAGCTGCAGTACTGGCTAGTAATGACACCACCCAGTGAACCTGGCGGGAGACTCTGAAATACTCAACTGCTCACTCATTCAGGTGGCTGGGTCTTACGCATTTTAGAAATACAGGGTTCAATGATCATTACAAAGCACTATCCTCACTTTCCGAAACCCACATCTGTGGACCCCAGGTACAAGTGAGAAGCGCCTTCCACGGCTAAGAGAGCGCTCACGCTCCCCCTAGTGGCCATTCATTCGGATTTACAGAAAAATGAAATTCAGTTCATTTCCTGGATCCATTCATCCAGTCATTCAGTAAATATTTCTTGAACACCCCAGGCGCTGTTCCAGGTTCTCAAGGTTCATGACTTGACCAATTGGTCATTTATACCCTATGCTACTTCTAACAAAAATATGATGCAGCTTACAATAAAAGCATGTAGAAGACAGCTAAAACAGAGTCAGAGACAGCAGCAGCAAGTGAAAAGCGGCTGATAATTCTACCAAGAACATGAAGTAAAACAGTGACTGCACTTGAGCCTTAAGTGTATTTTTGATCTTCCTGGTAGCCAAGGCAAAGCCAAACAAAATGAAATGGAAAAGTCAAGATACTGTCTATAGCTTTAACACACCGAAAGAAACGGAAAGACATCCTCAAGAGGCAAACGACGAAGACAATTGGCTGGGCACAGTGACTCACGCCTGGAATCCCAGCCCTTTGGGAGGCAGAGGCGGGTGGATCAACTGAGATCAGGAGTTCGAGCAGCCTGAACAACATGGCGAAATCCTGTATCTACTAAAAATACAAAATTTGCCGGGTGTGGTGGCACATGTCTGTAATCCCAGCTACTCAGGAGGCTGAGGCAGGAGAATCACTTGAACCCAGGAGGCGGAGGTTGCAGTGAGCCAAGATGGCGATGTTGCACTCCAGCCTGGGCAATAAGAGTGAAACTCCATCTCAAAAAAAAAAAAAAAAAGACTAAGACAACTCCCTGGACAGTGGCTTGGCAGAATATGCAAAACTGCACTTTCTATATCATTATATTGTTCTCAAAGCCAAAGATATAGCACTATATTATAATTCACTGAACGTATTTCAAATACAGACCAAAGCAGGATACCTTCTGGTGTTGCCAGTGGCCTGGGACAAAGCGTGCTATTCTTCACTTTTAGAGACTTTGATCCTAGTTTCTCTAGACTTTCATCCTAGCTTCTATAAACCGTGTGACTCAAGCACTTATTTAGCACTTAGACTATGGTTTAGCATCTACTATCAGTAAAGCCTTCTATGGACAAAATTGAGTTGTACTTTTTTTTTTTGAGACAGAGTTTCACTCTTACTACCCAGGCTGGAGTGCAATAGCACAATCTGTGCTCACTGCACCTCCACCTTCCAGGCTCAAGTGACTCTCCTGCCTCAGCCTCCTAGGTCGCTGGGATTACAGGCATGTGCCACCACACCTGGCTTTTTTTTTTTTTTTTTTTTAGTACAGACAGGGTTTCACCATGTTGGCCAGGCTGATCTCAAACTCCTGACCTCAGGTGATCCACGATCCACCCACCTCAGCCTCCCAAAGTCTCCCAAAGTACTGGGATTATAGGCGTCAGCCACTGTGCCTGGCCAACGTACTCTTTTGTTTAACCTTGGAAGGTCCACTCCATAAGAGGGGTGACTTTTTGCAATGATGCAACAGGTATAGCATAGAGCATCGTCCTACGGTAGCAGCAAGATTGACCAGGAAGCTAGGAAGTCATTTCTCTTTGGTTTCCACTAGTGTCCCCACTGGCTTGATGGCTTTGGACATTCCATGGAACAAATTTGAACCACAGTTGCTTCATTACGCGGGGACCCGTTCCAGATTCTCAATGGGAACAGTACCATACTCCCATCTTTAGGAATGTGTGGAGTAATTTGACTGTCACAGTGACAAATAACTGTCTTACACTTTCATATAAATGTTGACAAGTCAATTAGGCAAAAAAAATTAACAACAGAATTTAACTCATATTTAAAAGTACATTTTGCAGGATTCTGATATACTCCCAATGTTCTAGAAATGCAACATGTAAGCTGAAGGAAGACTGTACTTTGTTTAATTTCGAACTTTAACAAGAATTTTGTATTGTCTCAGAAAGACATCACGGAGGGCACCATTGTTTACAGTACTGGAATCACTGTGCTGTGTACTGGTGATCCGTTTGCAGACAGTGTCCTCAACATGATTCTACGTTTGCAAACATCTGACTACTTCATTTTGTCTTCTCATGTAGTTTACATATGCAAGTACATATTATATTATAATTTACTATCCCTCGGCTTCCTTTTTTTGAGACAGAGTCATAGTCTATTTTTCCAAGACAAAATATGCCTCAGTGACAATTTACTAAAATTGTCTTTCAAGTTTTTTGTTTTGTTTTTTCGTAAGGTTCTTCCTAGCCATTAATGGCTTTGTTTTGTCTTGTTCTGTCGCCAGGCTGGAGTGCAGTGGCGCAATCTCGGCTTACTGCAGCCTCCGCCTCCTGGGTTCAAGCGATTCTCCTGCCTCAGCCTCCTGCGTAGCTGGGATTACAGGCGCCCACCACCACACCTGGCTAATTTTTGTATTTTTAGTAGAGACAGTCTTTCACCATCTTGGTCAGGCTGGTCTCAAACTCCTGACCTCATGATCCACCTGCCTCAGCCTCCCAAAGTGCTGAGATTACAGGCGTGAGCCACCGCGCCCAGCCTGCCACACTCTTACAGTTGGCCCTTTAAGGGCCAGATCAAGGCTATCTACTTAAGAATCTTTCTCTTTATTTACAATCAAAATCCATTGCTCCTTCCAATGTACCTGCTTTCTACTTTGTATATCTCGATGCTGACCCTGATTTCATTCTGTCTTGAGTGTTCCCCTTCTAGGGACAGCATCAGATTTCAGCAATTCCCCCATCACTCAGCAAGGAGGCACTTGATGTTCGGCTTGAATTGAGAAATCTGGTGACTGTTGCAACATGGAGATTTACTCCAGTGTCCGGCTTCCTTCCTAGGGCAGGGCATCTGCGTTCAAGTAGAGCAGGAAGTAAGGACAGGCAGGGGGCAGGTGAGTACTCACTGCAGAAAGCCTCAGTCTTCAGAAATCCAAAAAGCATAGGAAAATCTGAGTCGTTTTGGAATTTAACAAGAATCTTCATAATTGTATTTGAATGATGTCACAAAGGAATTCACAATCTCATAGCTTGAGTAACCTCTCAGATCCATTTTCCCAGGATGATATTTATTCGGTCACTCTCCCACTCACTCAACAAGATCTTAAATGCCGTTGATGATGTCGTAAGCACAGAGTCAGGCACCGGCCTCACCCGCACGGAGCTGAGATTCAGTCTTCTAACTCCCCTGCTGCATCTGAGTAATGGTACCTGTCTTTGTTTTACAGCACTCCATCGATCAGCCTGATTTCATCTGACAATTAAAAATGAATAAATCCCACACCACAGCAACACCTGGAAGGAAATACTCTCCTGCAGCCACTTAGAGAAGTCCCCCACACTCAGCCATCCTGTCTCTGTGTCACTTTTGGAGCCAGCCAGTCGGGGCTCACACTCAGCCAGGACTCAGCCACGTGCTCTCTCAGGCCAGCAGCTTCATCTCTGGGAGACCAGCCTTCCTCCTCCGTGACAGGGAGCCATCCCTGCTTCTTAGTGGCACTCACTGAGTCATCCAGGCACAGCCCTAGAGCAACAGCCAGAACAAAGCAAGCCCGACTCAAAAGGGTTCCTTCTACTGCTGTTCCAGCTCCCCTTCTAGAAGGCCCAAGAAAGGCAGCTAAGCCACTGCCCTGGGATTGGGAGGGATGCAGGCAGCCTGGGGATAGCTTCACATGAAGTGTTTCCATTGGTCTTTATCCGGTCATGCTGTATTCCAGTAGAACTTTGGAATCCAGACACACACAGTTTGGTTATGGCATTGAGTGCGTCAGTTCAACACTGATTTTTTATTGGCCTCTATGTATCAAGCAGGTGACAGATATCAAGGACCTAAAAAGAAGTGAGATCCAATCCCTGTGTTTAAGAAGGGCCCATCCCAGCCAAAACATGGAACATAGACAAATAACTCATAACATGGTGGGATGAGCACAAAAACCCAAGGATCAGAAGGCACGATTCACTCCACGTGGGAGCAGAGAGGGCTTCCCAGGGAGTAACGTGTGGGACAACTCTGCCAGGGGCTTGAAATAGTCAGCCATGCACTAGAAGTGTGAAACAATGCCTGCTTGCTTTCCTCAGCCTAACAGCAAACGTTGACTTCGGCTTTTAAATCTGGTAAAAGGGGAAAAATATGAGAAAAGTAAAACTGATGAAGGAAAGAGACAAGGAGGATGGAAGAGGGACACGCTGTTTATTCATAGGCGGGGGCCCCTA